CTGGGACTACAGGTGTGCGTCACTACACCCTGCTTTATAAAGTTATTTTTGCCGAGTGTGGTGGCGCACACCTTTAATCCCAGCACTCAGGAGGCAGAGGCAGGTGGATATCTGTGAGTTTGAGGCCAGCCTGGTCTACACAGTGAGGTCCAGGCCAGCTGGGGCTACAGGGAGACGCTGTCTCAAAAAAAAAAAAAAAAACACCAAAAAAAGTTATTTTTACTTTATGTATATGAGTGTTTTGCCTACATGTATGTATGTGCACCACTTAGGTGCAGTGCCTACAGAGGCTAGAAGAGGGTATCACATCCACTGGAACTGGATTTACCCTATGAGCCATCCTGTGTGCACTAGGAACCAAATCCTGGTCCTCTGCAAGAGCAGTAAGTGCTCTTAATAGTTGTCACTTATTCAGCACATTTTGAATACTATTTATAGGGAAAGTGTTTCTTAGTCATAGAAAATTTTTTTCTAACCTGATGAACAAGCATCACTTTTATTATACAAGATACTAAATTAACAAAGAACTGTTCTATTTATTTCTGTTTAAAATTTATTTTTTATTAAAAAAAAATTTTTTATGTGCATGATTGTATTGCCTGCATGTATGTGAGTGCACTGTGTCGTGCAATGCCACAGAGGTCAAAAGAGGGCATCGGATTCCCCTGGAACTGGAGTTAAGGACAGTTCATAGCTGCCATGTGGGTGCTGGGACTCAAACCGGGTCCTCTGCAAGAGCAGTCAGTGCTTTTAACCACTGAGCCATCAAAAAAAATTTTTATGTGCATGATTGTATTGCCTGCATGTATGTGAGTGCACCGTGTCGTGCAATGACACAGAGGTCAAAAGAGGGCATCGGATTCCCCTGGAACTGGAGTTAAGGACAGTTCATAGCTGCCATGTGGGTGCTGGGACTCAAACCGGGTCCTCTGCAAGAGCAGTCAGTGCTTTTAACCACTGAGCCATCTCTCCAGCTCTTATTTTTTATTTTTAATCGTGTGTATGTGTGTGTCTGTGTGGGGGTTTATGTATGTGTCAGTGCCCGTAGAGGCTAAAGGCATTGGACCCATGGAGCTGGAGTTACTTGTGGTTTTGAGTCACCTGATGTGGGCTCTGGGACTCAAACTCCTGTCCTCTGAGCCATCTCTCCAACCCTATAATTTTAATTTTCCTAACCCTGCATTCTTGAGTTACTCAACACACATAAATATATCCAGGATTCCATTTTTCTCTCTTTTTTTTTTGAAGCCTTTTTTGTGTGTAGGGTCTCACTTTGTAGCCCTAGCTGGCCTGGAACTCTATGTAGATCAGGCTGGCCTCCAACGCACAGCAATCCACCTGCCTCTGCCTCTCAAGTGCTGGGGCTAAAGATGTGCGCCACCAAGTCTGGTACATTAACTAAATATTGTTTGTGGTTTTTTTTGGGGGGGGTCTCCCTGTAGCCCCAGCTGGCCTGGAACTCGCTATGTAGACCAGACTGGCCTTGAACTCACAGAGATCTGCCTGCCTCTACCTCCTGAGTGCTGGGATTAAAGGTGTGTACCACCACGCCTGGCCTAACATTAATTAAATATTGATAAACTGGCTTAAGTAGGTATGCGTAATTTTTTTTATGTGTATATGAGTGTATTGCCTGCATGTATGTGAATGCACCCATGTCATGCAGTGCTGTGGAGGTCAGAAGAGGGCATCGGATTCCCCTGGAACTGGAGTTAAGGATGGTTCAGTAGCCGCCATGTGGGTGTCGGGAATCGAACTCAGGTCTTCTGCAAGAGCAGTCAGTGCTCTTAACCACTGAGCCATCTCTCCAGCCCCGGTATGCGTAATTTTAGAAAACAACTTGTTTTGAAAACCTAGTGTATTCAAACAAATGTAGAGAATTCTGGGGTAAGCTGTATTATAATTTAATGAATGATTATTCCTTTTATTTCTTAATTTCAGAATTCTCTAAGCAAATTAGAGTAAACTTTTTTTGTTTTCATTTTGCTCTAGTATTTATTATTTATTTATTTATTTAAAGACAAGATCTCATTGTAGCCCAAGCTGACCTCAGACTTGCTGTGTAGTGGAGGATGGCCTGGAACTTCTAATCCTCCTGCCTCTACCTCCTGATTACAGACATATCCCATCACGAGGCTTTATACATACTAGGAACACAACCAGAGTGCTAGGTACTGTACCAACTGAGCCTGACCGTACTCTTTTTATGTGCAATTTTCCAAATACAATTTGATAAAGATACTTGGGGGGGGTGTTAGCAAAACAGTTATTTCCACAGCTGACTAAAAGCCATTTTACAGATTAGAAAAATAAACATAATAGTTTATTGAACATCTATTTCTTATTGATACCATGAATTACTTATTAACTTGTTTAGCTGTAGTTCAAAATACTGGGTTTCAGGCTCAGAGGATAAGGGCACTTGCAACCAAGCCTGACAACCTGAGTTCAGTCTCCAGAACCTATATGGTGGAAGGAGAGAACCAGCTCCCACAGGTTATTCTCTGATCTTCACATGTAGGTTATGATACGAGGCCCACCTACACACATAACATACACAAAAATAAATGTAAAAATAAACAGAATGAGTTTCCTTATGACATTTTCATGCATACCACTGTACTTTGCTCATTACCTGCCTGTTACCTTCCCTTGCCATATATATAT